GCAAGAAGAAATCATTTTTAGTACGGAGCACATGAGGGCGTAATCACGGAGCTTCTTCTTTGCAATGCTATAGTTACTTGTTCTATAATTATTCCTTGACCCTAGATGTGGATATATGAAAAAAAGGAAGAAGCAAACGGCTTATTATTAGCAGAACTTTTGAAGCGCAGTTATATCCCGTCAAGAATCAATAAGCAACGTAGATTCTCATGCCACCACCGCCGGATCTCGAAATCATTTTAGCCCATATTAAAATAAGGGGGAAAATATGCCGACGCCGACAAGGGGGACGATGCCCCTAGCAACCCCGTTGTACCCTAACTACCCCCGTGGAAGGGAGGAAGCCTGCAGTCCGTTTTAAAATCCCCAACCCCGGCTAATTCTTTCTCACATATCCCTACAGACCGTAAAGAGTAACTTACCTCTGTACACTTCTCGCAAATGTCATCTACTCCCAAGTATCATATTTGGAATCTTTCAGGCGACTAATTTTCTCTAGAGTGAAATGTGCAATGTTTTGTATGTGCCGAGTGGGCGGCGAAGAGAGCATCTTGCGCTCTTCAGTGGAGAACAACTTTGGAGGGCCATGGAAAAATAAGCCACGTATAACTAGTGCAGTAGTTACATACATATGGTACTCGACGGGTAGCATGTGCAATGTCTATAAAAAAGAAAACATGTACGGAGTACGCGCGGTTCAGATCCGGGGTTAGAGTGAAAACCAAAGAATTGACCACCTTTCTGTACTTGTTCTTCACCTCATTACGGAGTAGTATCTCCTAAAATTGGATATTTAGGTAGAATTGAGGGAAATCACACAATTTTGATAGGTGCCTACAGATAGATCAAGGATCAAAAATACAAATTTCATTCCTCCGCTGCCAATGAAATGAGAGGAAGTTTTGAGTTCACAAGACTGCGTCGCTTGGCTCGCTACTCAACGCGGTCGGCAATGAAGGAACTTAATAATAAATGAAGAAGGAAAGAAATGAAAAAAAAGAAAGAAAAAAACCGAATCGATCAACAGATAACTACTATGAAAATGATCTATCATCTTTTTCTTCAAATCGCACACCGGTGTCGTTTCCTTTAAAATCCGATATCGGGGTATGTATTCCCGACACCAGAGCCCGCCCCCTCCCTCCCGTTTTCTCCTCAAGTCAATTCGCCAGGGCGATCTGTACGTAGCCGTGACACTCTCATTTAATAATATCTGGAAAAGCAAATAGCGGAGATAGTTACAACCTGGACTCAAGGCCGCGATGTAGGTGGGAACCACAGAAGGCTCGATTAGAGTTGGCCACGCTAACTTAACATGGTAAAGCGCGGCGGGAGCGAGTCCCCGCTGATCCACGAAATCTCATTCGATCGATATTGGGGCGATCGTTTGATGCTTAGCAATGTTTAAATTTGATTTTTAATCTCTCTGTTGGAGGCTTATTAGAGCGCGGGGTGGTGTTGTGTAACATCTATCAGGGTTGTTGTGGTTGTGGTTGTGGTTGTTGTTGTTGTTGTTTTTGTCCCCTCCTACCCTACCTTCTTCTCTTGCAGCGATAACTCTCGCGAAGGGGGTTGAAGTGGTTGGGAAAAGGAAAAGGGAGCCAATGGGGACCAAGCTTTGGTGGCCTAAACATGAGTCAACCGTTGCTGCTGTGTAATTAGAACGAAGAAGTTAGGTGAGTAATTGCAGGAATGCGGAAGGATAAGAGGGCGAATCAGGCTCTGGGTGATGCTGTGTGGATCGGTCTCACAGGGCAGAAGCTAACAGGCCTATTCAAAATACTGTCAATGCGACTGACGTGCATGACACAAGCACACGACTATCCTTAGAATAGTGAGAATAGTGAGGAGCGGCAGGCCGTGGGTCTCCGCTGTGGTCTGCCTGGCAGGGTGCAGACGTCATCTAAGTCGATCTTTGCAGGATGGGAGATTGTTGGATATGGGAGAAACTCGGTAAATCGGAGATCTTGCTGTCAACCAAGGCTGACATTATATTCGGGGTTGGAAGAGGTTGCTAATTTCACGATTGCACCGAGGTTGTTAGGGTGTTAGGGATGTAGTAGTAGAAGGGCATGGATTTTGCAGGCATCTCTATTCAGGTAACCCCAGTGAGTATAGGGAGAGATAATGACATATTCCACGCAATAAGTGCAGGGGCAAGCTTTCGTAGCTTGTTACTCGATACACCATAATAAATCCCTGCATCTGGAAGGGTATCAAGCCGCTTGAGAGCAGTTATACACTAACAGATTTCTTTACTTTTAGTTTGAATTCCGGCGTAGCTGTGATAAGCCCATTGGCTTAGATCAATAGCAAACTGAAAAAGTAGTCACTGAAAATACTAGACCTGTTAACCTTGGTCTAGTAAAGGGGCAAACAATGTAAAGGCGGAATGGTGGAAACAAAAACTAATCCTGTAGAGCGGCGTAGAGCAGCGTTGTCGGAACCCAGAGGCGAATTGGTCAGCCTACATACAGAATGTCATTGCCATGGGGTCACAAGCTTCTTTTCTTGCAATGCATCATGTTTTGTACTTAAATTGCAAGCCAGTGACTGTTCCAGGAAGCCAACGGATGGATGGGATATCCAACACATTGAAACTCTTGTGAAATCATACAAAGTTTGATATTGCACTATTGAGATGAACCAAAGCGTTTCCGATGTGATTCTGCTGTAGTGAAGATGGCGAAAGGATAATATGCTCATCTGTCAAGTATAAAAGTTGCTGCTGTTAAAGTGCATCTCTTTATCGGAGAAGTGCATTGGCTGCCGCCTTGATGCTCCAGCCAAAACTGCGGCGCAGATCAAGGAGCGACGAAGTTCCCACAGGGCGTCTGAGAGAATGGCAAGTGACCAAAGGCGAATCAAACTTCAAGGCAAAAAAAAGCAAAGGAACCCCCCAAGTATAAGCATAAACCGCCACAGCAGGTGGTGGGTTGGTGTGGGTTTGGATCCTCTTGTTAGAGAATCTTAGAGTAGCAGGGCCCGTGGTGTAGATTTCTTTTCTTTTTTCTGCGGGGTGATCTGTGTCAGAACTGAGAGATTTTCGGGAGGCTTAACTACTCTGTAACTTTAGGTACCGATATCCTCCTCCGTACGGAGTACATCCAGCCTGTGTCTCTATTTCTTTGATATTCCAACATCAACGTTCGTGTCTCAACTTGAAACACCCGCAAAATCCTTGTCAAGCTCACGTCTGTGGGACTACTGAGAGGCAACGTAAAACATCTAGAATACAACATGCCCTAGGTTCCGCCCTGATGCGCCTAGCAGAGCATATTCAAATCCCGGATGCTGAGCCGGTAGTTACTGACATAACTACACGTGTTGCTGGGTTCATGGATGTTATTTACTTTAGTTTGCCTGCCCCCCACCGCAGCCGTAAGAACAAGCAAGGATCAGGGGGGGAAATCTGGGATCTCCAACTAACTTCGGCGCGCGTCCAAAAGCCAACACCACCCATGAAGCCATGGGCGATGACGAATTTCTTAGACCCGGAAGAGCTTCTTCACTTTACAAAACCGAAAGGAGAAGTCTGTCTCCCTCCGTGAAAACCCCCGCATTCCTGATGTCTGAACCAGTTCCTCGATTGTTGCTTTTGGTAACTGATGTCCGAGACCTGCACGCTGGGAATCAAATCTTTCCTTGCAGCTGGAGCTATGGCGCCCTGTGTCTACCAGGGGGGGGTTAGGCTAAGAATCTGACAGTTCTATGAAGATAGGAACAACGATGCAGGGTTCCTCGGGCTCACAGCCCTAGTGGCGGATGTGTAGTGGGTAGGCAAATTCTCAACTTCCTGTATGTGCCAGGGATATATATTCATGAAGGGCCGAGAGGAAAGAAGGTTATCATGGTGAAGTTTTTTGAAGCTGCAGATATTCGATGTGCCCCATGCGAACTCACCCTGCCTAGTCGCGAGTCTGCCAACAAAAGTCGTGAGCCGTAAAAACTTATGTCCAAAGATATTGGCTCGGATAAAATAATGGATGATGTTGCAAAGCAGCTGCCGTATACAGTACAGGACATCCATTCTTCCGTTCAGATTTCTAGATATATCATATTACGCCTCCAGCAGCCGCGCGGCCTGTTGGCCTATTCAATACTAAAATAAGAGATAGCCAGTTTCCTAGCTTCTATTTTCCTCTGCGGCGGGACCAATAAATAATCACCAGCTGCTCTGTTGCTCTGTTAGCTGTATGGTTGATCACACCAGTTCCTGTAAGTTACTGGATGGAACTGCATGAGGGAGTTCATACTTGAAGATAAATAACCTTCGATTTTGGATGGAACACTTTCCATGCTTAATTATACTCTTTTTCTTTCCCCTTTCGGTGATATATTACTCACATCCCATTATTTCCTCGAGGGGGAGGAGGCGCCCGTTGGGGTTCTCAGAAAGTCTACTGATTAACAGCTACGAAGTATGTAGAGTGCGTAAATAAGCTATCTAGGTGCCTATATTAACAGGCTAGATGGGAAGTTATCGACAACCGAGCAGGACAAGCTTTAAAGTCAAGGTGTCCCTGCAGGCAGTGCTAAGTATTGGCCGCCACGCTTGAACAGCTGGGGTACTGTAGTGCAACGGCCTTATTGATGTCCTAGTAGGTCATTGGAATCTAGGGAATAAAGTGCTGGAGGCGCTCGAGAAACGTTGGGGAAGCCTGTTCGTGGCTTTATTTATTCTCCCACCTGCTTTAGTTGTACAGTACTATAACCATGTAACATATAGATATATAATCCTCATATAGAACATAGTTCAACGTTATCCATATAAAAAGCAGAATAGTTCGCATACCTCTACCGCGAAGATCATTATCCAGTAGAACTTCTTCATGCTCCCCTGCCTCCTCTATTGATCTGCGGCTATAAATAAATAATACAGCCATTGTCAGGAAATGCAGGGACTGTACATATATTCTAATAATGGCTGTGGATATGATAGGGATGGATAATCATGTAAATCACAATAGTTCATAGTTTTAAAAGAACATATGGCCGTTTCAATTAACTTCAATTAAGACATGGACCCAGATTCTATGGTAGGGATGTTCAATATCTGCAGCAGCAACCGAACTGTCCTTCTTAAAAGCACGGTACTGTACCTGACAACCTTCCACAACATCCGCATCCATACATATAGCTACGTATACATATTTGTGACTATATATGTCTCAGAATGCACTGGGTGTAGTCAAGTGTATGTATGTACGTAATGTACGTACGTAATGTACGTACGTAATGTACGTACGTACATACTTCTCTAACACTTCTTCTATGGGAGAAAGTATTCTCTAAAGTCACATATAGTTACTTGACCACCATATCTGTCTCTTAAAATAGATTTATTTTGTCTCCTGTGCCAGACGTACACAGGTTTTTTAGAATCCAGGGTTCACAAGATAGATAAGGCACCAAGTATTCCATGTGTGCGTGAACTCCTGGTTGTCGCCCACACAGCAATGCATGGACGATACTTTTGGTACCATTATGTATACATGTATACATACAGGCACAGGCATTGATGGGCGAGTATCCATGGATATGCGGCATGGATCATGTGGCCCGGATGTATGTACAGTACACTAATCCGCAGTACGCTGTAGCTACAGATTTTACATTTTGCTAATCTCACAATACACGCTGGCGCTTCCCGGCACTTGCTGAAATGTTGTACGTACATACATACATATACGTGCCACAGCTTTCTGGTATTTCTAACGACGACCCTGACTTTATTATAGCTCTGGCCACAAACTGTAATAATACTTTAGCATAATTAGCATAATGAAGAGTATCATAAAACTCAGAATGGAGCAAACAAGGAAGCGAACTGCAACGTGTACAATGAGTATTCACTATTGTCAGCTTCAGTTGCTGCTACGCCTGTGTTGATTTCTCGAGGACTGCGCAAATATATATCGAAAAAGCAAGGAAGAAAGAAAGAAATTACAGGGAGCTTTTGGGTTCAAGCCGCACAACTGAGAATACCGTAGCGTGGATGCGGGATAATTTCTGGCTTTCCCCTCCCCCTCCCTCCCCCTCTCCCCCTCCCCCGGAAATAGACGCCGGTATCCCTCCTACCTCCCTCAGGTACCTAGCAACAAGCTGACCAGAGGTTGGCTTATCGCCCAGGTCAAGCAGCCGGAATAGATCAAGTCTGAGGTGTTTTCCGAATCAGAGTGTCTCAGATGGCCCATCCGGTGGGTTTCAGTATATCCCGCCGTGGGGATGCAAGGAAGGGGGCGCCTGTAATGTACATGTACATACGTTACATGTACATATTTTCCGCGCAATAGGATAGTAGAATCGGGAGCCAAATGCGGCGGGGGTCCCAGCCAACCTCCTCTGTTACCATGCCGTCTTAGGAGAAGAGAGAGCGAAAAAGTTCGCACAACCCCTAGCCACCTACAAGGGTGCTTAGAAGATATCCATCCATGTGTAGCTCTTCCGCAGAGGCAACCATGGCAAGTGACGTGAATCCGATGTAACCAGCTTGGCGCTGTGGGTAGGGTAGATGGGATGTCGAGTGGGGATATAGGGATGAATACTCCGTACTGAATGACGAAATACTCTCCTCAGTCTTACTTGCATAGCTGAACGCATGTTTGTGGAGTATGCGATTAAACAAATCAAACCCCACCAGCATCAGCGCAAAGATTAACATGACCTGGAGGTTACGATGTGACAGGAGCGTGACTTCTCTTCACAACCTTGCTCCTAGGATGAACTGTACCCTTGTCCAGAGCCCTGTCAAGCAGGGGCTGATTAGGTAGCTCAGACCAAAATTAACTGTTACTTGCTCCGCAGTCATGCGCGCGAATCGCCGCAAGCTCCTTCAGCCGGAAGAGGGAAACCATATAACGAACTAACAGAATGTTCAGTCAAGGATTGTATACGCACAGTACATAACATGGTCGGGGAGGAGCCGGTTCCGGGGGACCTAATTGAGGAGTGCATATTGTTCCGGCCAACGCGCGCTCCCATCTTGATGATGTGATGTCTTCGTTTCAAACGAGGGGAGGTAGTTAGTGTCTGTCCATCGACAATCGCTAACCTTCTAACAAATATCACCAAAAATGCCGACAGGAAAATGACACGGCGCAAGCAAGGAGCCTGTAATCCACGTACCGGGTAACTATCGTCCGTGAGCCACTCCGCCAAGAGGAAGGATGAGGGGTCTTCGTTTGGGAGTTTAGACTCATAAAAACAGCTTTTCGGTGTTTCTTTTGCAGCCAATGGTGGGGATTCATACTGTCCTGTCCGCATTTGTCAAGGGTCCAATAACAAGGGTTTGGGGGCCGCACAGATGAACACATTCTCTATATTTTTCCCGACAACTTCTCACTAAAAAAGAAGGGGAAAAAGGGCGAAAAGAGATAAAATTCGCGCCCAGCCATCATCCCATTAGACTTTGGGCAACTGGTGGGGAATGGCAGCTCACAGGGGTAAAAAATCGCGATGAGGGGTCGATTTTTTCGAGATGGAACCCTCAAAACGGAAAATTAAATAGAGAGGGTTAATCTAGATGAGCCCTGCAGTACATATCCCAGCGAACGGGTAATTGTGTATGTACATGTATGTATATACGTACAATGGCTCCTGAATTTTCATTGCCTATCTAGACAGGACGTTGACCTCGCTTGTCTTGAGTAATGATAGGAGGAAGTACGTTGGCAGTTTGCCTTCACCTCTCCTTTCCTCATCCCCACCCCCCGATACCCCGAAGGAAGAATACAATAGATCCCCTCCCATTTTTAGGATTTTTTTTTTTTTTTTTTTTTTTTTTTTTTTTTTTTTTTTTTTTTTTTTTTCCTTTTTTTTATAACTATAGTTAGTTATATATTTGGTCCGGGAATATAAATTTCTTTCCCATGCACGCCGCAATTAATTTGCAGGAAACTTCGGCGAAGGCGCTCGGAAAATTTTCGCGGTCAGTGGATCTCTTTTCTTCGCCGACATTGAACTAGTCGCACACTTGCTGAGTTGTCAAGAAGACATACTATGCGTAGAAATAACAACAATACATATAAAAGGGCCCAAGAAGGATTAGGGGAAAGCTGTAGGAACTGCGGATTAGCCCGAGTAGGTACTTATGATGGTTAGATGATATATCCAGAGTCTTTGCACCGCCCCCAGCCCCCCTCCCCCAGAATACCTGGATGAGAAGCGGTATAAAAAAATAACAAATCTTGGCAGAGAGCAAAATACACGGTGATAGACGGAGCGTAGCGAAGGCGAGACAATTGGATTATTATTGGGTGTAACCGGACTAGACGACGTGGTGTGTGAAGCAGCTCAAGATACGACGCAGAGCTAATGTAGGCACGGTTCTCGAATTGTCGGCGACCAGGCCTGCCAAGCAACCACAGTCGCCGACATAACAAACAATTTTTAGGACGATGCAGGTGAAATTGGGGACATGGAACAGAAGGACAGGAAGCACAGATTTACGCTGAATTTCCGGGAGGCAGGCCGAGTTATCTGCAGGTCCATGTCCTGAATCCTGATAATCTTTCTCTTTTTTTTTCACCCACGAACGCGATCTATCTTGTAGTTTGAAGAGCTCTCTGATTTATGAATGACTAAGCTGCCAAGTTCTCTGGCGGGGCGGAAGGTTGGACCGTCATTACGCTGCTAGACTCAATGCAGTTTAGCGGGGTGATTGACATTGTCAGCCAATCACATGGCGCGGTTTGACCCGACAGTCTGGTCCAGCGCTCCCACGCCAAAACCGCGCCAAGATGACGAGCCGCAGACGTCACGTCGAGCCAAAAAAAGGCCATTTCGTACGACCAACCACAACGCAACCGCCTCCCACCCAAATACCGGACGAATACACCCCAATACGGGGCCCAGTTATCGACGGGACGGGGCTTTCAAATTAGGGCCAGTTGGAGGTTGCGGGCTTGGGTTGGTTTTTGCAGTCGGCGCCTCTTCGTCACCTGGGCCAATCAGACCCTGTCGTGTGAAGTAAGGTGTCTCCAGTGTGCTTTTATTCGCCAGACGCTGTTCTTCAACATCAGTGCGGGGGCGGCGGTGCGGGACTACAGACTTCTCTTCAGATGCCAGCCAGAGCACGGACGACCGCGGGAGGCGAATGTTTTTTCCCGGCGACTGTTGTTGGGGGTGGCCGGGCTGGTCCTTCAGCTGCTTTGGATCCTGCCTATCCAATTCTTACAGAGGCTACATGTATGTATATGTTGTGTGCACATCTACACCTCCTGCTAAGGATGGTGCAGGGAGGGAGGAACTTCTGCACATATATCTCGATAAGGAACCCCTTCTACAGCAATCGATGAAGCACCGACTACTCCGTACCGCAGTTGTGCGTTTCGAGTCAATAACTCACTAGATGCGCCTTTCGCCTATTCAGTAGTACATCTCCAGCTAACTTGGATATCTACTAAGGAGTCCAGACTTTTTGCACTGGAGCTACCATGTCTTGGCGATGTTCGATGTTCATCAATAGTGTATGATCTGCTACGTCTAGATCCCTTCCAAAAAGCAGGTTTTGTTACTCTGGACACGTTTAAAGTTCTCAACGCTCTGCGACTCCTCATTCGGAACCACTTTTCATTCGAGATAAGCGGCCCAGTTTGAGTCAATCCGCCACGATTCGTATCAGATCATCTCAGTTCCCTTTTCCCAGTGTGAATTTGGCCCGTTGGAAAGCGTGTCAATGGCATATATGTGTATGCCGCTTGGAATAGTTCTCTAATATATGAACCAATGCGCTGCTGGATCCGCTGGTCCGCTTCATTCAGTGCTTCGTCGATTTCTTTGGTGCAATCGATCACATTATGTGAAATTGGTGCTGCAGGGTCAAATGAAGAAAAGGAGCACTTGTCATGACAGGTTGACAGGTTCGGCTATTATTACAGGGGTTCTACACTTCCCGATGTATGCCGGGAGGGAAATAGAAAAAGGAATCAATAAGCAAAGAGCAACCTTCGCAAATTGCTATGACCTAATTCTATTTAACTTTTATCTTCAGTGAAGAGACAATCCATGGACGTTTATAGAGTCGACATCATTAACTATTCCTACCTTACATGATACAACGACCGTGCCGTGCCAAATGTTTGTCGAGTATCTGAGTTGATGCTATCCTTAGATCTCTGGTGCATATCATAAACCTTGCACGAAACCCTGACCCTCGACCAGCTAGCGACCAATAATGGCTCAGCAAGCCCAACAAGTAAGTCTGGTGACTTGGTTTCGCACAACTACGCCACATCGTGATGAAATCCGTGGTGCATTCAACCCCCCAAGAAAACTCCCAGGTACGGGCATCTCTTCTCCAGTCCATGAACGAATGGCTCCTTCCAACTTACCCTAGGGTTGCTAACGCTATTATTATTTCAGGCCTCTGGATGCGGCACAGATCATAATTTGAACCCCGCAAAAATTAAGTTCAATTCGGGCTGGGCTTGTGGTCGCCGTGGATGATCTGATATCCGGTTTGATTTGAGTTCCTAACGGAGAATTCTTCCTTGAATCCCACACTGTCATTGGTGGTGTATTTTCTCCCTCTTGACATTTTCTCTGCTTTTCAGGCGGGCCCTTTTCCCCGTCTTCATGATCAACAAGCCGAAAAAAAAAAAAAAAAAAAAAAAAAAAAAAAAAAAGGAATGTCTCATATCCACCTGCCACCTTCCGTACTGCTTAGTGTAGTTCCCGAGACCCTCTCAGATATATCGCCGTCCAGAATCCCGTTCTAATAAGGTCTAAAATGACAGATGATCGCTCTGCTCCTACCTTCCCTTATTAGGTAGCTAGACACGACCAATTTTCAGATCTCCAGGTTGCAGAACAAGATACGAGAATCGAAGCCCACCCATTCCGCATCACAAAACCACCAGATGGGCAGGGGGGCGGAAACCACTTATACAGCGTAACGCATTTCACGAGGGAGAAACGGCTGATTTATTGAAAACTAAGCTGATAAATATTAATTACCGGACAGCCTGAGATACTAACCCTTACAGCAATGATACACGCTTACATTTGAGATAACCACCTGGCTATCCTGGTTCTATTGGCTTCGTTGGGCTCTCATTTCGCCAGAAAGCACATGACATGCCCAATATTCCTAGAGCTCCTCATGCCGATTCCACGGGCGCACAATGTTATATAGTGATGTACGCGAGTATATACGTGTATGCTTCTATCGCTAAGGATTATCCCTGTGAGAGAAAGCAGAAAACGATCCACGCTGCGAAGACGGAGAAAAATATGACGCGAAAGACGACCAAAACTCGAAAACTACATCGCCGTTGGCAGCTGGGATGTGAGATTGACTCTTCCTCGGGTAGAGTTTACGCTAGGCAAGCCACAAGGCGATCGCCCCAATACAGAACCGGTAAACTAAAAGTGCCCAGGCGCTCTTTTATTTATTTTATTTTCTATTTTACTTTCTGCGTCTCTTCCTTCTGGCTGTTTGCGACTTTGCTGCGAACCTGGCTAGTAAGGACTCTAAGGAGGGGGACAAGGGGAAATCATGGGCCGCCATCATTTGTGAACCATAGTTGAGCTTCCCTCAGCATCTCTGCCGCCGCCGCGGCCAATGCCTGTTGGTTTTAAGCCCCCCGTAAAAAGTTTAGGGGCGTGGCTTTTTGCGGCAAACAATATTCCTGGACCAACAGGAGAGGAGGCCGCTGCGGTTGGAGCAATAATTGTCTCTCCCTGCCTGCCGCTACTGATGCTGCTGCCAGTTGCCCTCCCACTCCTCGCCCACATCTGGGACCTTTCCCATCATCTCCCCACTACCCACAGAAATAAGAAAAATAAAAAATAAGGTCTGATGGAGTTATGGTTCGCCTTATGCTGCATCTGCTGGCCCTGCGTCTGCGGTTAGCATGGGTCAAACTCTGTCGTTAGTATATGGCAGAGCAGAGGGCAGGCGTAAAACTGAAATAAGTACTCTGTATGGGACCCCCCCGGTTGGCTCAACTCGTCTGCTGCTGCACTGTAATGCGAATCAGTGTGGGTGTAAAACCAAGCAGCTCTTGTCGATCTATCTTTCCCATATCAAAACCACTGTGCACCACTTCTTCGCTCCTGATTAATAGCCAAGTACCACCATTCGATAGCCACACACACAACACACGTATGCCTTATATATTCTTAATATATTGCTTCTAGAACTCCAATCTCAAAATACTAATAACACTAAAAGGGTTGCCTCTCCCTTCATATATCCACCCACCCCCCCAACGTCGACGTTTTACCCAACATTTCCCCTCACAAGCTATACTCCCTCTACATCTACCCAAACTTCCCACCAACTGAGTAACAGATCCTATGTGAAACGGCAAGAAACAACAGAGTCATAAAACAAAACCGAAACGAACAGATAATCACAAAGGAGCTATTTCAGTATTCCTCACCTTTCTTGTCTTCAACAACAGAAACCATTTTGCTGCTTCCGTATGGTTAGTACAAAGATGCTTCTTCCTCAGCCCCCTCGATTCTTCCCCCCGCCCCTTCAAAACAAAGAATTGACGGAGGAAACATTTCCTTTCCTAAACCCCCACCAATCCATGCACGCTAGTAGTACCTGCGCTGTTTCCTCTCGCTTTAAATGACAAGGTTCTGATTGCTAAACTTGTTTAAGTCAGCTCCCTAGCCTGTTGCGTGACTCTGAACCATTGCTCTTCCAGAATCTGTCAGATATTGATCTGAGCTGTTCCATACAAGAGCGGGTGACTGCAACAGCTTCATCTATAAGCGGTCTGAAGCTAGCAAGCTCCAATTTCTGTTCAGTATCTCTTCTTGTTCGACATTTGCCCTTTGCATCACTGTGCAAGGAAGGGCATAAAAAGTGGGCTAGAACGAGAGAACATCACAAAAATAACATTATCGCCAACTTTCTTTACCCCAATATAATCCACCTTTTCTAAAACAGCAACAACAAAAAAGACCTCCAGAAAAGCGCCAAAGCTACCGTTCTGGAGAACCGCTACCATACTCTCCTCCGCTTTAACCAACCCCCTACTTGGCTATCCGCATCCGGAAGGATTTTCTGTCGGAGATAGTTGCAGAATTCGTCGCCTCCCTTCTCGCCAATCAGTCCTCCTTGCCCCTCCGTACCAAAAATAATCAGCTCCACGCCACTTCAGGGACCAGGTTTCAGTAAACCGGGACGGCTCGTTCTCTAATTAAGACGGAGCCATAGTCTCGATTCCACTAGAGAGAAAAGGTTGTGTAACGGTTCATCTTTTAAAACCTCAGAGAGCTTGAGTTCTGGGGAATGCAATAACACCGCACGGCTCCACCCCACCAGAATACATAAAACTCCACATACCGGCTGAAAGCTGTTTAGTTAGGAATCTCGTCTCCCAACTTTCGTACCCATCCTACCACAAGCCTTTTGGTTCCTAGCTCTGCACTCTACCTTCAGCACCATTAGCTTGTGCAGTTGCTCATTTTAGCAGGATAGATTGGCCTGCAACGTCGTCGATATAGTTGCCCTGGAAAGCGAAACTGGAACTTCCACTCCATTCAACAGGCAAAGGTATTTCGAGCAAGAAATGTCAAATACCCATCCGCCGTCGCCTCCGCTGTCAATAGACGGAGAATTATCCCGCACCATCGGTGTCTGTTCAATCCAGCAAGCTGGGTTGCCATTCCTCCAAAACAGATTGCAAGTTGACAGCCTATACACGCAAATGACGCCATCTCCAACTTTGCAGTATACCCGTATTGAGGTTGACCCTCATCGAGAACCAATAATTGCTGTAAGTAACTCAATTGCCTCACTTTGGCCAGCAATCTGAAGTACTGCGCGTGTCTAACGATTCTCTAGGGTGATTATGGAGTTCTAGGCCCGTATAGAAACGGAGATGAGGTTGTTTATCCCCAAACGGTAAGCTCTGAGCAGCGGCGCTGAATTTGATTTTGCTTAATGCTAACCAACATGCCATAGGCACCTTTGCGCACACCGGAATCACCCTTGGTTCGCCGAACCGAACTGTTTCGCGTCCTGCCTCTGGCCGCACTAACAAGACGCGCGTGCGGAGGATCGTAAGGATGCGAAAACGAAATGTTGCCAAGCGGGGTGGCCCTGACGAAATTCTTGTGCCGCGGCCGTTAAGTGAATTGACAAAGGGGATGCGAATCCCGGTGCGAAATATGGAGCTCCATGTGATGCGATCCACAGAACAACGCCAAAAGGAGGTGGAGAAGAAAAATGGCAAGATCGCACGGCCGATGAATTCATTTATGTTGTATCGCTCAGCATATGCGGAAGCAACAAAGGAATGGTGTGCTCAGAACAATCATCAGGTAGTCTCGCGAGTAGCTGGTTTGAGTTGGCCGAAGGAGCCCAAGGAAGTAAGAGACTACTACGAGCGACTGGCCAACATTGAACGAGACAACCATGATAAAGCCCACCCGAATTACAAGTTCGCTCCAAACAAAAGTGCGAACACCCCCAAGAAGAAAAAGGCATTGACCATGAAGGAAGAAGAGCATAGCGATGTCAGTGACCATGGTATCACAATGGCTCCATCGTATCAAAATCCAGTGAGACATGTGTCTGGCGCTTCATTCCAAGATGGCAGCTTCCGAAGCCGCACTCCCACTCCCATTGATCGCGACAGCTCATACGACAGCCGTCAGGGAACGCCATTCGAACAAATTGGGGATGTGTATCTGAACGGTGACATGAACCGATCATCATGGCAAATGTCGAACCCTGGCAGGCCGCATCCTGGCATGTTCTCTCCTCCCGAACAACAACATTATTATCAACCATCCATCCACCAAAGCACCCTAGGCCCTAATATCGAAGACGTGACCTTCAAAAAGATGGGCGTTCCAGGCATGCAGTATGACGGACCAGTAGCTTTAGCCGGTCTTCCAGGCAACGCACACCCAGACTTGCTCCAACAGCAGCCGCTCCCACAATCAAGGACACCAGTCTCGCTCAACGTGTTACAAGTCGATCCCCAACTTTTCGAATTCGATGGTCAACCTAATCTGTCCTCCAGCGATGGAACCAGCTACGAGGGTCCGATCGACATGTGGCAAATGCCTAACGTAGAGCAACAATTTGCCCGGAGTGGCCTTCCTAGCCAGGAAGACGAACGATATATTTCACAATCCGGTTTCCATCCCGGTCTACAACAACCCATGGATAGGCGAGAGGTGTGGAATGAAAACCAAGTTGATGCTGGCGGACAATTTGAAGACTGGATCAGTACTGGTCCTCCATTTGAGTACGGTAACAGCCAGCAAAAGCATCTTTGAAAATTGTTTCTCCCTTTTCCGTGCTTTCCCCATATTATATTTTATGGGGTGGCCATGGTAGATGCGGGCAATGTTAATAGATCTCGTGTTTTTCTTCATCCTCGAATCCCCACCTTCCATTCTGCCGATGTACTTGTTTACTGCATTTTTATTCTCCCATCTTTTTTTTCACTTAAGTTTCTCATCAATTCTCGAGGCGCCAATATGGGTCTGGCTTCTCTTCAAGTTCTTGAATATTATGTGGAACCTTCTGGCGTTGAAGAGGTCGTGTCGGCTATTTGATTGATTCCTCCCCTCTTTCTTTCTTTGTCTTCCAACTTCAATTTTGACGCACGTTATGTTCACTGACTGGGCGGATTGACTGTTTGATATTTTATTTTTATTTCGCGGTCTTTATTTCTTCGATGCCGATTTTATTACTTACTGCTTGGGTCCATTTTTCTTAATTACAGGCGGTTGGGCGAGAAACAATTTGGACAGGTCATTATTGGGATCTCAATATCATGCGTAAAAGGCATGTACTGTACTGTAGCTTATTATTAATTAGTGCTAATGCGGTTAATCGAGTATCATAATTCCAAACGTCTAAGCCTGGTAGCACCGCGTCTTTTCTTTCAATGGCAACGCAGTCTTGAGATCTCCTAGTTTTGATAATAGGGGGAACTGGTGCGTGCAACGGACGTTCCTTTTTCCCTTTCCCTGCGATTACACTTCATCAGCCGGCACATTTCAGCAGACATAATATATTTCCCAATAATAGCACACGCTAGAATGAAGGGTTTACCTTTCCTCCTGCTACGTAGCAAGTCAGGGGAAGGACATTTGCCTGCAGTGGGCAGTCGTCATTCAGATAAAGAAGTGTTTGAAACCTGCAACAGGCTACATATGCCATGTTGCAGAAGTGAAGTCAAAATAGAAACATAGAACAAAAGAATGGCAAAGACATGCTAAAAATGATGAATGTAGATAATGATAATAAAATGGGGATAAAGAACGCCCGACTCGACTGACTGGAAACGCAAAGAAGTTGCTTCCATTGTGATTCTTGAATGTGGAGTAGTTACGGAGTAAATAAGTGCGGCTCCCGACTGCTGGCTTTTGGCTGGAGAGGAGGGTCTTGGCACCAGAACCAGGGAATCAACCACCACCGCATCGCAAAACTATGCAGCCCCGAAAAACCCCAGACCACAACCCCAGGATGTCCGTAAGAGCTACGTGAGATATCCCAACAACCTATATACAGCTCCTATTGTTCTACACACTAGAATATAGAAGCATTCCCCTGCAGAAAGCAGGTCGATAGCTGCATAAGTTGCCCGTAGCGGTTCAGGACCCCGAACCATTTTTGGAACCCAAACCCCGAAATACCGAATTTGAGCACAATGTACGGAGACCTGGGTAACAAACTGGTAAGAAAGCCATTCTATGTGCGAAAAGTCATGTAATTTCCCACTATCTGCATATCCAGAGAGAAAGCAGCCCCGCGCTGTATGCTAATTCGATCAAATTCTGAGACTATCAGGTCCAACATGCCAAGCGCATGCAATCCCTCTCCCACCTACCACCATACCAGACAGAAATGGTACGCTCGGTGGCGCGCGAGGTCCGCGAATTGGATAAAGATGTAGCGCGTATCTTGGAGCCCTTCGAAGGCACATTCAACCCGTCCGAGAACCACGCGACCGCCTGCGCTCTGCTCGTGCATCATTTGTCGATGCGACGGAATAAAAGATGCCTGCTTGCCTACCACCGCGCACGTGCGGAGAAACTGGAAGAGTTCTGCTGGCAGGGTCGTGATGTGCTAGATGAGCAGATGCAGCAAGGTGGTACGGGTGCTCAGAGTAGTGGTGGCCATGCAAATTCCCTGAGTCCCGAGGAAATGGAGTACTTTCGCCACTACAGTGATATGCTTGCGGCGTATAAGGGACAATGGATTGATATTGACTTGACGGGTAGCCTGGAGCCGCCAAAGGATCTGTTCATTGACGTGCGCGTGCTTAAGGATGCGGGTGAGATTCAGACTGAGTATGGGTAAGTGCAGCGTCCTTATCATTCCGTACTACTCTGGAGCATGATAATTGCCTCGAGAGAAATTGAATTTTGGGAAGGAGCCCGAGCTGAGGCCTTCGCATTATGCTCTTTTTCCGTTTACTAAAATTTTGGCCTTTGGCAACAGTGCTATTACGTTGACGAAAAACAGCCAGTTCTATGTCCGGCTGGGCGACGTTGAACGGCTCATTGCACAGGGATATCTTCAACGATTGAGTTAACATGTAGGACTGCAAGCTATGCATTCCCGAGGACGCATTATTTTACCTGTCCTTACTACCCTAGAGGTGGATACAAGAACATTCACAAACCTCGCTCGGAGACAAGGCTTACCCCTGGGCACTTATCTGATTTCCCCGGGAAGATCTAACATCCCATTCGGTTCCTGTAGTTCGATTCACGCGCAACTACCTTACGAAGTGGCATTCCGGTGCTGCCGCCCTAGCTACTCCCGCGTCTGTTTAAGGCGGCAGATTTAGAAATGGCATGGGAAGGCATATTTGCAGATTCCTACCAAGCTCTACTACCGAAGCATTCTGCCAATTTTTGAATCATATCATTCTATTAGGAATAAACGTGAAATAAGCAGCGAACCTTTTTGTCGACACAAGAACCAACATTGCTTGCAGGGAAGGCTATGTCAAAGCATGCGGAAAGGAGGTTTAGCCGATTGGGTTCAATCGCATTGAGTTGCGCATGGTTCTAATAACGTTAAAGTGATTCATCTAGTATAGTATACGATTTGATATTAATTTACCCCAAATTGGCCAAAAACCTTATTCCTTCTCTTCACTTCAAAAATTGATTTTGCTCCTGGTAGGTACACGACTCAAACATTTTCGACGGAAATCAGACTAGGCTCTATGAAGTGAAGTAAAGGGTTAGTTCATTCCATACATTATACATATCTCCGCAACGCACGCAATGGAATCGCTTCCCTTCAGGACCCTTGCCTACAACATCTTGCATTTACCAGATATACCTCCTCCCCTTCAGTTCACAGAGCCAAGGTTCGCGAAAATTTCCCGCTCAAGACTTAAGGGAACTAAACAGGCAACAACTTTCCTACACAGGGTTTCTCGCCACCAAAACGGAGAGTGAGGTTAGGTAAAAAAGAAAAGTAAACAAAATGGGGAGCCTCAATGCTGCACAGCTGCGCTCCGGTATACAAAGCTCTGACCACATGGGGGTTTTAAGCTTTTGTGGTTAGTTACAACAATTTAAGCTTAAAAAGTTTATTTAGCTAGGGCCTGCTGTCAGAGATAGATTCACGGAGTATCGCCGTATAACTTAAGTGTTTTAACATTCTCCTCTGAATCAATGATAATGTTTGTCAATTTTTTATCTGAATCCACTTGCTTTCAATGTGATTTGCCTCTCATTTGCAAGACAGGGGTTACTCGCAGTTATGACATCATAGATATGTGAAAACATCACAACCCCATGAACTCATTATGTAGAAACAAAGAACAGGAACTGCTAAAAATTAATGGAGACAGTACTAAATAACTGTCTATCTAAAATTTGCCTTCTCTCAGTATGTAATTAAAGTGGTTCAGTTCATGTTAATCAGAACCTCAAACATTGACTGGCATGTATACATTTACCAAGCGGTTTTGATCTCAAATTCTGTCATAGACATGAGAACATTGAGACATTGGTCTTAGGTAGTTAACAGGGGGTCAAAATTAAGTATTCGCATGCAATGCCATTGCCACGGGATTAGGAAACGCTGAAATAAACTATTTTAGGCCGCGACACATCGGTTCATCACCCCACATTCACCTGTTTTCTTTATTGTTTAAGAAAAAGCAGAAAGGAAAGTAAAGCTTCCCCGTCCCTCAACTAGATTACTTCAAAACACCAAAATAAGGAGACAAAGGCTCTTTCAATATGGGTAGTTAAAACTGAACTATTCTCACGAAGTATTCTGTAAATTCAAACATATTGAAGTGTGAAAAATATGTCAACTTTTAGCTTGCTCGTCTTCTCTGACAGCGGAGAAATAGCCCCTGTCGCATGGCACCCTGCAGCTGCAGGGAGCTAGCTGCCAGGTTTGCCTCTCCAAGATGCACTAGGGCAAAGCAGCTTCTATTTGTAAATAAAGTACTTCATCTGCTGGAGAAAAGCTTATCACAACACGCTGCCTTTTCTGCTGGCCCACATCCGTGGGAATTTTAGAAGGTAGAAGCCATGTAGCAATGACTAAATTTCTACAATAAAGTTCTTTAAAGTATCTGATCTTTTACCAGAAATTTCAAGCAGCAACGGAATGGTTATTTTTTTTGCATTAGCTTTTTCTTTTTTAGTTTGGCGGCGGGGCAAAACCGAGGTGGAGCGGACAGATTCCAGACCAAGATTTACAGCTTTTGCTTTTCGATGACTGACAACACCAATAACAGCAAGATTCTACCTTTCCCACGTCGCGAATTTGTTCGACTCCTTCCAGTTGGCGCAGCCTTGACGACAATCTCCCGTCGGTCGAGCCCCTTGACGACCTCTAAATCTCTAGGAAACTTGTTACGGGTTAACTTTACTACTCCTCCGTGCTCCTACGACACATGTTCCGTCGTTTCTTCCAATCGCACTCGAGGGAAGTAGACTGGTTTCCCAGCCTCACGGATGTATTCGGAGCAAAGTTAAAATAGTGATCAGGTTTTGTGCAATTTATTGTCCGGTTCCTGGATGCCGGAAACGCGCCTGGCGGGGTGAGACCGCAATATGACGTCTGACATTGCGGGAATGCGGCGACGAGCTTCGCAGTCTTCAACCCAACCACATCCACGAGAAGTACAGGAGGGTTTGATGCGTACACAAATAGACGAAAGAAGCGACAATATCCCTGTCTCCACGAATAATCCCCCTAATGGCTCTCAATCAAACCATGGGGAGGAGGGCAACTCTCTTCCCCCGATGTCGTACTCCACATCTTGCAACGAGAGAACACCTCT